TAACATGAAATGACTTGACATGCTCAATTCCACTGAATATACTCAAAAATCATGATTTTGCTCAATATGCTAAGGTGGCCGGTGGCGTGCGCACCGTGCGCCGCCTACGGCGTTAAGCCGATCCTCGACCAACCTTTATTCTTATTCGACAACCAACACATAGCTGAACATGACATAATATTTACTGATCAAATCAACATGAATTGCTCGAATAATCAATATCAAACATGACCATACACATGGACGGCCCGTGGCATGCGCTACGTGCACATCCACGTCCCTTTAGCCATCTCAACGATTACACATGGAAATTCCTCGACCAACATGAGCTAACTGAACATAATATGGCATGTAATGGCTGAATGCATGAAACGTGTTCGAGAGTTTCGGACAAAAACATGAACATACTCGACATGATTTACTTCGAATGGCCGAGAGTAACTTAAAGCCATATCATGAGCATGACTTAAGCAAAACTGATCTAACATGACTTTAGCAACATCATGCAAAGGTGATTTGAGGTTACCTCTTCGAACGCTCGGCTATAACTACACCAACTCTCGTGACCAATCGGATGTTGTGCCTCCGTGCACACTCGTAGGATCTCCGCGTGCTTTCGACTAGGCTATCCGCGTGCGGTACCTCAAACTCAAGAAACTCTCACTATCTCTCTATACTTAGTATTATTTAGGAACATTTAGGGTGGCTAAATTCTCCCCATTTCCTTGCTATATATATGATGGCCGAAAACATGAAGAGGTGAGGAAATTGTTGGCTAAACCTTCTTGCACCACTTGTCAACATTAGAGGCTTAAGGTGTTTACTCATCCACTAAAATAGCTTAGTCACCCATTAGGACTTAACAATTTGACACCTCAAGCATTAAAAAGGGAAACAAATCTCCCTTAAATGCCCACTAAAAAAACTTACGGCTTTTTCATGAAAAAATGACTAAATTACAACTTAATGCTCACGGCATTTAAAATAACTAAGCATATATGACCTTAATTACACAACTATTGTGCTTAATTAATTAGCTAAGTTGACACTTAATTACCAAAATTATTCCGAACGTAAACGTGACTTCGAAATTAATTTCGAATAATCTCGACTGAAATAATTAATTTCGAAAAATAATAATCGACAATATTATTATATCGGAACTAAAAACATGATTATATTAATAACATGACGGGATATTACATTAAAAGTGATGGGACAATTCAGTTTATTGATGGTTTCTCGAAGATCAACGTTCAGGACTTGCTTTTCGGCGTTATGTGCTTCTCGGACGTAGGTTTTGGCCTTACGTCCAGACGTATCTAATTGTTTAGTGTTAGTATTTATTCGAGGAATATAATGAGGAGAGTTTGATGCAACATGAGCTCTGGGTTTCTTGCATTCAATGGTCGAAATTCTGACAAGATCAGAAAAAGTAAAAACTTCCTGGTCGGTTATTCTCTTTGGATTGGCACCCCGGTCATCATCATCTTCTTCGTCTGATTGTATTCATAAAGTAATTCCATCTCCCCGGAGTGGACCATGTTGATCATCATGACGTCCAACTCATCGTCACCGGAGATGCCCACGATACACTCATGATTCAAGGAAAAATATATCGAAAAAGATAAGCAGAGTTGAGAAATAAATCTTACCGCAGGAATAAAGTTGTAGATCTGAGTGGAGAACTTTAGAGAATCAAGCAGCGAATCAATAAATTGAAGGAAGCAAGAAATTGCAAGAAATTGAAGAGTTGGATTGCAGAGGAAATTAGAGTAAATCGATTTCGTAAAGGTGATCGATTATTTATACCTTTCCCTAAACCTAGAAATGACCGTTGAAGAAAAGAAATAGGGACGCGTGAGTTACACTTTCTACTCTCACGAGTAAATGCGACCCTTGAGAACTGCGCCAGTTAGTAACGCCTACGTGGCCTATAAAAAGTGATCGTTGCTTTGTCAGCGAACGTTGTATTTAATCACAAAAAATTGCGCCGTTTTAGCTTCGAGTTTCTTTCTCACATCAAAGTGTTGGGACGTCGGAATATACTAACAGGAAACCGACATGTCCAAATTGCATGGATTGAAAATTTCATGATATTCTTCAGCATCAATACCCGTCCTCTTCCGGACGCCCATTAATGCTGGGGGCCACCTTGTTGACATGGTTTTCATTAAACTAAATAATCAATGATTATCAGCACTAAGTGCTCAAGGGTAAGGGTTATGCTACCTTGGAAGTCATTGGGCTTACAAACTACATGTCGGATAAAAGTGGACCAAGTGCCGACGTTGCCACTCAGGAATCGATATCCATATAGTCGATAAGTTCACCATTTTCTATCTTCATTAAACCGATATCTCTCGTCAGTCATGGCGTAGCGAACCGATATCTACGACATACGAAACCGACATCATAAGAGGGTGCCAACTCAGCAAATCATCATGACAGAGGGCCAAGTGGCGCTCCACAAGAACAAGTGGCAAATAGACGCCTTTGACTTTTCTATTATAATTATTATTATCACAGCAATCTTGTATTGTAATATAAATAGCAGAAAAAAGCTCCAAAAGGGCCCGAACATTATTACTCATATAAAATCTAGATATGGTTTATCCATTTTCTTCATAAATCATCTTTGATTAACCTTGATTAATCACTAGACTTATACTTAATAACACTTGTTAATTCGCACATAACAACAGTTTGACGCTAGAAGGAGGGTCAAGGTTGGCGAGTTCATAACGGAGGTTCCCGACACACTCCATGGCTTTCAGGAAGAATGGTTGTGGGTTGGCGGAGATTGGCAATGCGCCGATTTCGGTAATGATCTTCTCGCCAATGGGACAAGTATCCCGATGGCTGTTAAATCTGCTTATTGTAAGTTAATTTTTCTGTTTCCTCATTTGAAGTATTAATTACTCGTTTTTTGTCTTCGCTAACAGGTGGACTTTTGCAACATTGTAGCCAAACCGCAAGAAAAGAAAGAACCTCGGTTCGGAGGAGTATTGTACGATCGAGTAGACAGTATTTTTGAGCTTTCTCCGAACAAGCGAAGGTATCAACGTCTCGTAAAGGATTCTCGCTTGGAACTTACTGGCTTATCACCTGGGATTCTGGATTCTTCATTTCAACCCAGTGAGCACCCTAATTGTTTTCTTCTATATTTTGTATCGACAACTTTGGTTGTAACTTGTAACTGTTTATCTGGCAGTATATTATCCGTTGTTAGGATATTTCAGCTTCGGAGATCCTGTAGAAGCTGAAGAACACAGGAGACATAATCTGAATTCGGACTTGAAGAACAAAGTCGGAAAAGGAAAAAATCTCCGATCACCTGAAATGGCCAGACGTATGAATTTGCTCAAAGCATGGAAAAAGAACCCGGACCGCTCTCGTGTTGTCGTTAGCGAACCGTCAGCGACGAGGGATGAACCGACTCCGGCTATTATGAGCGAGCCGGTTGTCGTTGAAGGTCAACCGATGATCTTCGAGAAAGTTGCTGAGGAGCCAGTGCAGCAAATTATAATAACGGTGAATGAATCTATCACTAAGGCCGAAATCACACAACAGATGCCCGAGGAGCCTGGTATGGGCTTGGTCAGCCGTCGCAAGAGATCCAGTGTGTCTCATGTGGCTGAACAAATGAAGAAGAAACAAGATACCAGCGTGGGTAAGGACAAGCAAGAAGAGCCGAAAATCGTCTTGAGGCCATCGTTCCTTAAAGTGGACGAGAAGAAAGCTGCAGAATTAACACTGCCCGAGGACGTATTTGAACCATGGTTCTCGATGTTTCAAACCATTAATAAGCCCAAGTTGCCGAATATCATCGATTTCCTGGGGAGGCAGTAAGTGCGGCGAAGGTCCCTTTAATGTCATGGGATCCAAAAACTCACGCCGGGATGGCGTCCTTACCCGACGATCAAAAATTCAGCTACGCTAAAGGCTGTTTGGGTCGGGCACTTGTCAGTTTTATTGTTGCCAAAGAGAGTTATCGCAACAAAGTCGCAGAGCTTAAGGAAAAATACAACGAACTCAGCTTGAGAGATGGGACAGTGGCGTCTTTGGAAGACGAAAAATCCCGATTCGCAGCCTCCATGTCGGAGAAAGACATACAGCTGAAGGCGACACAAACTGAAGTGAATGCTCTTAAAACCGAAAAAGAAAACTTACTGTTGGCTCACGATATCATGTCGGTCCATATATTCCTTAAAGACCCACGTTGGTGAGGCACACTGTAAGACCTTACCGACTGGGACGATCATATTCCTTAAAATATTAAAAGATTAAGGACCGGATATCGAGTTATCCGACCAGGTCCATCTTACCAAGAAAAACAATCATAAACAAAAAATCGTGTCGTCCTAATACGACAACAAAATCTCAAGTACGATAACCAATTCGAGAGGCCCAAGTGCCCACATACAAATCTATACTATTATCATTATTACACACGCGAATCCATTAAACGCGTCACATTACACGCAAAACATGAAAGTTGGGTACCGAATTACCCAACCAAGCCTCCATTCATATAGCAATCTCAAAAATTTGACTATCCACGCAGTCGACTTCATTCGTCAGAATAAAAACCATGATTAACGTCAATATGTCAGGCTAAAGCCTAAAAACGATCAATGAAGCGACCACGGGTCCCAAAATACCCGGACGACGTCCATGTATTATTTATCACAGTATAAAAAGCCTTAGGCTCATGATATACAGCAAAAAACGGCAAAATTGATTTTACATGCGACTTCAGAACAGTTCTCTTCAAGAACATGCCTTAAAGTCGGGGGCCTACTGTTGTTACCCATTTAGCATCGCCTATTAAAATGTTAGGCGTGGATATATATATTAAATAAATATAAAATAGCAGGTTCTTTTATCTGATTTATATTGACCGAGTTCCCAGAAGTCAAGACGGTCCACATCCAAAACCAATCAGAATTCAATGACGCCAGCTTGACCCAGATATCTCAAAGAAGCTAATTTGACAGACACGTCAAATTGTCCACAAGACACATGCAAGTTGAAGTGCCAGTCAATCCAATTATTTATTAGGCCCCGCAAACATATTTATTATTGGGCCCTGTGCGGTCATATTTATTATTGGGCCCTGCGCGGTCATATTTTATTAATTACATGTATATTGTGAAAGCCCATTACATATACGGGCCCATATTAGCCCAAATATAAAGATGTATAAATATGGGCTAAAGAGATAATTCTGGAAGGGGACTTTATCATTTCTTTCATTATCTGAACAACAGAGGCGGTGCCTCGATTCTCTCCTTCATCCAAAACATCTACAGAGCTTCTTCCTCAATTTTTCTAGCTTTTATTCATTCAATATACACCAAAAAATATACAGAAAATCAATATACAAACAGTTCTCCGAATACCCCGTGTTGTTACAATTTCGCATAGCAACACAAGTAAATAAGTTTAATAAAAATTAGAAATAATAACTGATTAAAAAAAGGCTCTCAAACCATGTGACTTGAGAACATGGTTAATTAAGTAAGTTTAATTGTTTTATTTAAAAATCAACTCCAAATGCTGCTACTTTCAGCGTTTCCAATTTGGAGGTTTAGGTATCAAAAAGCTAACTTCAACATCCATTAACCGAACATATTTGTAAGCTTATTGATAAAGTCAAAACTGCTAAAAGTCCAAAAATGCTGATTTTTTTTGTCAAAAAGCCATTTACCAAACATGGCCTATGTATTCTGTAAACATTTCAATGACTTGTTTGTTCGTTCTCTATGTCTATTTTCTTATGCATATATTAACAATAAATTCTTGTCCAATGATTATATCGTGAAGCTACATATGTTGAGCTCTCTCTCTATAGGTTTTAGTTTTATTTTACGTGCTCTTCAAGACTTTAACTTCTGAGCTTTTTTATTCTTTCTCAAGTTCTATACTCTCCTATTTGTTTGTACTCGCAAATACATGTGGAGTAATTGAAGACTCCTTTTGAGGTTTAATTTCTCAACCTTTTCTATTCTTACATTATAATGGTATTATGTGCTAAGATGGAAACTTTTTCGAGTAGTTGGGGGATGGCAATCTTAATTTGCATCTTTCTAGTTGCGTTATAGATATTGATTTAAATAGATCAAAATATTTTTTTCTTGTAGTAAGTTCTTTCAATGTGGTTTACATCGTGTTACAACAATCGTCTACTAGTGGTTTATGGTTCTACACTAGCTTATTTTTTGAACAAATTTGATTTTGATATGTATTTAAAGTAGTATAACAGTTTTGTAGTCTAAACGCAATTTAGCCGGCTCATTGTGGGACATATTTTGGTTTTATTTCCCAACATGTAATTTATATTTAATGTATTATTTTGAAATAATTTATTGATATTCATTGCCCTCATGTTTCATAGTTTTATATTTTGTTCCAGAATATTTTTTCCTTTCCAAATTCCCTTGATTCTTCAAATTCTAAAATGACTGATTTTTATTGTTAAAAAAGTTTGTTGGTTTTTTCATAATCACAGGTACTCTTCATTCTCTATCCTTTCAAATATTTTGTGTGCTTGTTTTAGTTTTAACCACAATTTGATTAATTCACATAAACATGAGAGATAAGATATAATTTTTTTATTACTTTTGTAAATATGATAAATAAAACCTTGTATAACAAGTATTTAAAAGACATAGAGAATGAATTACATCGAATTAATTAAGATATTTCATATTAGAAAACAATGTAGAGGATTAGATAGCATTTAAGTTTGTGGTGCGTATAAAATTTTACCACCATAAAATTTGTTTTAACAAAATAAACATAAATAATAATAAATAATTTTTTTTTTTCTGTGACATAGATAAACAAATTGTTCCTCAACAAGTTAGTTTAATGACCAAGTTGAAGACCATATGTGTCCAAGATGTAATGTCGCGGAGGCGGTGGAGCACGAGGTGAATGCAGCTTGCCAGGACAGTCTGGGCCCCCGGTACCGGGAATGTATGTGCAGCCTGAAGAGCCTGATGGAGGGACAGGACCCCTCTCCAAAGGATTAATAGGCGGGTTTTGTGCTGCTTTTTCCGATAACTCGACGTGATAATGATCAAGATCATGTGCATTCGGGATATTAGGATGACAAAAATGTGGATTTTTGTTTTCACAATCTGAAAGACCACTATCCATGGTGCGCCTGGAATTGTCAGGGACAGGGATAGAATCTATCTCAAAAAGATGACTTGGTGTGACCAATTCAGTTGGTTTTAGAGGTTGTATATGGTTATAAAATACTCTTCCCGAATTGCATAATTGTGCACAAAAAATGAGATTCATGACGAGTGAAGGCAAGACAAAAGTGTAGAGGTGGCTCATTTTTTTATTCCTTTAGGTTTTGCTTTAGGTTTAAGCAAACTTGGTATATGATTTCTCTGTCTTGTTTAAAACTAAGGATGTGTATTTATAGGAATGGATGTGGAAGAGAGACTGGGAGGACTTAATGGTTTTGAAAGACGTGTATGGTGACATGCAATATATACCACAAATGTGTAGCCATGATGTATAACTGTTGTAAATGGTTATTTGATTATTTTTTTAGTTTGTGTGGTTGCCATATATGGGAATTAGTTATTAACTAACTAACATGTTTCACCTCCAATAATTAAATTTTCAACTAAATATTACGAAACCACTAGTTTCAAGGAGTGGACTTAGAGCTATATTTATTTAGAAATACTTATGTCTTGTTTGGTAATCAGCAGTTAGCTGTTAGCTGTTAGCGAATTGCATTAGTTGTTTTGACCAGCGGATTACATTGGCTATTTTGACCAGTTGATTGTGTTAGCGGTTTGTAAAAAAGTGTTTGGTAAAATTAACTAATTTAATTAACTGTTAACATGTAAAATTACTTATAATGACATTAACATACTTTGTCATTCTAATTTATATTAAACTTATAATTATTTAAGAAATAGAAATAATTATTATTTTAAATATTTATTAAAGTGAGTTAAATATGATAAAAATATAAATAATAATAAAATGAAAATTTTTAATAATCAAGTAATAACCGATTAAAAAAAGCTCTCAAACCATGTGGCTTGAGAACATGGTTAATTAGGTAATTTTAATTGTTTTATTCAAAAAATCAACTCCAAATGCTGCTACTCTCAGCGTTTCCAATTTGGAGGTTTGGGTATCAAAAAGCTAACTTGAACATCCATTAACCAAACATATTTGTTAGCTTATTGATAAAGTCAAAACTGCTAAAAGTCCAAAAACGCTGATTTTTTTGTCAAAAAGGCATTTAACAAACATGGCCTATGTATTTTGTAAACATTTCAATGACTTGTTTGTTCCTTCTTTATGTCTATTTTCTTATGCATATATTAACAATAAATTCTCTCTCTTGAAATATTAATCTACCTTTTTAAACTTGTGTGTTAAATTGACTTCATCGTGTCAGAGTTCTAGATTTTTGTTTGAGAAAAAAATAATAATAATTTCAATTTCTATTAACTTACTCCTATATACTAGTTTTTATATTTTACAAAAAAAAAACAATATTTTTTTTTTTTTTATGGTTTGGGCATATTTAAGTTTTATATTTAAAACAAAAAAAAAATGTGCATTCATTCTTCACAAATGCACGACATCAAAATAGTTGTATGGAAGTATCTTGATATAGCCCTATTATCATAGCCCGATTCAAGTGACAGTTACCCGGCTGAAGACTGTGGACGACTTCATTAAGTCGACATCTACAATGTCTACGTGGCCCATCGGTCGTTCAAAGACCATTGGTCTGGCCACGATCTCCAGTCAACTTTAGAAAGTCGACAGACTATAAGACGACTCAAGAAGACAAGCAGGCACTCTAGGAGCCCCGGGTACACGTGTAACCTTAAATCGACTCGGCAAGGTCCTGAGTCGACTCATAAGACCTCCGACGACTTGATACACTTAGATGCAGCATATAGAAAATCTCTAAGGTAGACTAAGTTCACATAAGATAAGGAAGGATCTAGATGCTGACTCAGGAGTGGGCAGAATACAAACCGACCAGGGCATTTTGGACACTTCATGTAAGTCGGCCAGGACATTTTAGGTACTTCAAGTAAGTGTTTTTACCCCTATATAAAGGGGCCGAGGTAACTCCAAACCCCAACTTTCATTCTCTCCATTCATTATTCAGCTGCTACTCCTACTGAGCAGAGCTCATCTTCTTCTCTGTCACTGACTTGAGCGTCAGAGGCTCTTCACCGGAAAACACTTCCAGTGTTGAGTTCTTGCAGGAGTTCACAGCGGTTCACGGACGACTCGGAGCCAATTCAAACAGACTGGAGCTCATTCCCATCGGTTCACTCCAGATATAGGAGGAGACCCATCAAATTGACGCCGTCTGTGGAGAGTTCTTGAAGGAAGTAAGAGCTTTGCACCTAGTTCCGATCTGTTTGACATAGCGGAGAAGGAAGGATTGTCGAGAAATTTGAACGAGGACTTTCGGGCAGCATGGACGGATAAACGGCCGCCGCCGATTCCTGGCCCTAGACCACCACTTCAGGTGCTCGGTTTTCTGCCATTCGGAGGGCACGCGCCGTCGGGAGCGCATAGGGAGGAAGAAACGCCAATCACACCACCTGGGGTGAAGATTCCAGGGCTAACACAAGGAGGATCTAGCCAGACAAGGACCATCGACACGGGAACTGACAAGAACGAGTGGGCTAAAACGGCTTTGAGCTTGGGAAAGCAGTCTGAATTGTTGGAGCAAGGTGCAAGACCACCACCCCAGGTCGAGGAGAAAATGATGACCATGACGAGGAATGAGATGCAGATAATGATTGCGGAGGCGGTGGCAGCCCAACTCAAACAGGTGCAAGTCGAGCAACCTAGGATGGAGCCACCTAGAGTCGAACAACATAGGGTCGAGTTGCCACCCCATTATCACGAGCAACAAGCCCAGTCCAATGATAGGCAGATCAGGAGGGTTGAGGAGGAAGCATCCTCCATTAGGACAGCCAATCCGCAGGCGAGGGATGAGACATTGGAGCAGTTGTTGGCCCAAGTTCGCGATCTACAGGCCCGAGTCGAGGGGAAGAAAGTTGGAGGCCCGAGAGGACATCCGTTCTCGCAGCACATTCTGGATGCCGACCTGCCACAAGGTTTTCGTGATCTAAACATAAGTTATGACGGATCAACTGATCCATCCCGTCATATGAGGAGTTTCGAGAATATGGCAGTTCTGCATCATTACAATGACCCGGTGCAGTGTCGAGATTTCCTGACGACTTTGCGGGGATCTGCGCAGGATTGGTTTCATCAACTGCCAGCAGGAGCCATCAAGAACTTTGAGGGATTCAGCGCGAGCTTTCTCAATCAATTTGCAAGTGTTAAACCGCAAGAGAAATCGTATTTGACCTTGATGGGCATTCAGCAGAGGGAAGGCGAGTCACTGCGAGATTATGTGGCAAGATATACGCGAGCGTGCGTCGAAGTGCCCAGAGCGTCGGAGAAAATCAACATAGGAGGTTTGACGCGAGGGTTGTTACTAGGCCTATGCAGGAATTCTTTAGCAAAGCGACCGGGTAGAACATTTGATGAAGTATTGGGGAGATGTGCGAAGTATATGAATGTCGAAGAAGCTGAAGTCGACTTGTTACGGGCGGTTAAAGTGAGTAAAGTTGACTCTCGAGATGAGAGGAGGGATAAAAAGTTTCTTCGACCGGGGAAAGGAAAGGGTCCCCACGAACTGAGAGTGATGGGCGATCTAGAAGTTGGAGGCCGACTCAATACAGCTTCTTGTCGGCCCCCCAAGCGCAAATTTTGGAGGTAATGGAAAGAGAAATTCACGACAATGTCGTCAGATGGCCCAAGACGAGAAAAGATGGGCCAACGAGGCCAAAGAGTAATCTATACTGCCGATTTCATAAGGATTATGGGCAAAATACTGACGATTGCAGACATCTTAAGGACGAGATCAAAAGGCTGATTAAGGCAAGACACCCGAAGGAATTTATATACAAGGATCGGGAAAAGTCGAGCAGGAGGAGAGAGAGAAGCCGAAGTCCTCGCAAGAGGGGGAAAACGCCTGAGAAAGAAGAGCTCCCACAGAAAAGGGGAATAATACATATGATATTTGGAGGATCGACTGATGGGGATTCGAATCGAGCAAGAAAGGCGTATGCCTGAGGGCGCCATGAGAAAGTCGAGGTACAACAAGTCGACAAGAATGGACCGGTAATGAACTTCGGTCCAGCAGATGTGGAAGAAGTTGAAAGACCTCACAACGATGCATTGATGGTAACTGCCCAAGTATCCGGATATGAAGTGCAGAGAGTGTTTGTCGACACTGGGAGTTCTGTGAATGTAATTTTTTATGATTGTCTCAAGAGGATGGAGCTCGACATACAGCTCACACCCCTCCATACCTCACTATTCAGTTTTAACGGGTCAGAGGTCACGCACCTAGGGGAAACCATGCTCGATGTCGTCCTAGGAGAAGGTGACTTGCGGAAGGTAAAAATGGTGAGATTCGTAGTGGTCGATGTCGAGTCAGCTTATAATGTGATCCTTGGGAGGCCAGCGCTTAATGCATTTCAGGCTGTGGTGTCGACTTATCACATGAAGTTGAAGTTCCCAGTCGGAGACCATGTTGGAGAAGCTCGAGGTGATCAGAAGTTGTCAAGGACTTGTTATCAAATTGCTATGAAAACCAATCAACGGACCGAAGTTAGAGAAGGGAAAAGGCCAATGGCTAGCGAGAAGAGGCCGAGCAGCGATCTCGAACCACGTGGTGAATTCATGGAGATGTAGACTGGGGAAACAAAAGAACAGACCACTAGGATGGCAGAGGACGACAGCTGCCGCGATCTTGGCATATGATACATCTTAAACGCTTTTATGCATAGGGCGATGTTTTAAATAATTTTTTGTACTGAGCAAAGCTTAATCAAATCCAGTAATGCAATAAACTTCGAGATTATGCTTCAATTGTGTCTTTTTCATTTTCATGTCGATCCCATCATGATTACTCAGAAAATCAAATTTTTCAAAACGGCTATAAAGCCGGCCAACTCCAACGACTACGAAGTCGACCTAATACAACTACGAAGTTGTATTCGAGTGGAATCTCGACTAAGCTACGAAGCTTATGACTACGAAGTCGACCTCATACAACTACGAAGTTGTATTCGAGTGGAATCTCGACTAAGCTACAAAGCTTACGACTACGAAGTCGACCTATTACAACTACGAAGTTGTATTCGAGTGGAATCTCGACTAAGCTACGAAGCTTACGACTACGAAGTCGACCTAATACAACTAAGAAGTTGTATTCGAGTGGAATCTCGACTAAGCTACGAAGCTTACGAC